TTTTTTTAAATCCTCACCTGAGGGTATTTTTTTTTTCCATTGATTTTTAGAGAGAGTGGGAGGGAGGTAAGGAGGGGGGGGGGAGAGAGAGAAAGAGAACATTGATGTGAGAGAGACACATTGATTGGTTGCCTCCTACATGTGCCCTGACCTGGGATGGGAACAAACCTGCAACCAAGGTGTGTGCCTTTGACCGGGAATCGAACCCACAATCCTTGGGTCTGAGGACTGACGCTCTAACCATTGAGCTGCTGACCCCCCCTTTTTTTTTTTACTTACTAGTTTTTGCTTTCACTTGGCCTCTTATGTTAGTCAAATTTTAAAGGGTTTCCTTTTCATTCTGGCATTCTTAGATTTGAAAGGGTAATCTAGGTTTCTTTGCTCTGAATTATGACCTTGACTATAAAGGTGCATTGGGTGATCTTTTACCCCGAAACAAGATCTAATTATTTTTTGTTTTATAATTATGTGTGAGGCACAGGTACCATATGGTTGAAAAATGTAATTTAGATTTTAAAGTCCTTGGTGCTATCTTAAAAATGAAAACTACATAATAAAAATTGTCACTTAACAAATAGACCCTTTCTCCCAAAATAAGTTTTCCTACAACTCAGATTTGGGTAACATTTGAATACCAGTTTAAGATACAGAGTGAATCTCAAAGGACATTTCATTTAAAATGGATGTATATACTGTTAGGTTTAGATTGAAATTTGGTTTCCATTAAGGCTTACTGTAAAATGATTTTGATTCTGTCTTTAGACTTTACTTTGTTTAAAAGTTGTTTCAAGGATGGTATGTCCCTTACTGTTTAAAATTGTTGATTTAGTTAACCTCATTTTTGAAGCTGACATTATCAATTAACGCTAAGTGGTAGTAAATGTTTCAGAGTTCAAGTCAGATATGTTCCGGGGTAAGTCTATTACCTTATGAGTTTGACATCATAAGGAAAAGACAAGACTGATAAATCATGTCTGTGACCTAAAGTGGCAGTTCTTAGTTGTCATTTTTAAACCATTTGCATTCTTAAAGTGCCATTCACTCCTGATGGCACAGATTGTCATAGCACCCAGAAACTAGAGCATCCGAGTCTGCCAGGTGTTGTCACTCAGATAAGGAAATCACACACAACTGCAGCTGAATTCTTAAAATTATAGAATAAAATATTTTGAGATATGAAGTAGATACTACGCGTCATTTGAGGCAGCTTTTTCATTCTACAGATTAGAAACGGAAACCTAGAGAAGCCGGTGATTCTGTTCATATGTAGGTGATGCTGTTTGGGTGAAAAATTGCAATACGAAATTTTATCACAAACATAATTTCGTTGCAAACCATTTTGGGGTGCTCTTTGTGCAGGTGTGGTTCCTGATGGCACCTATGAAGTGTGTTCCCGGACTACAGGACAGGCAGCTGCTGGTAGGTTCATATTTGGAATTACTTTTACTACATGTGTCAGGGAGAATCCTGCCTTTATTTGTATGTACTTTCAGCCTTTATGTTAATAGTGAGGGTATCTTTTAACTAAACTTATTCTGGTCAAGGGGACACTTTGGAGAAAGAGGGAGCCAAAAACCCTGGGAAACCAGATAGGAGGTAATTACAGAAGGAATTAGCTGTCTTAACTAAGATGATAGCATGTATAAATTTTTATTATTTTGCTTGGTATAAATTAGGGTAAGCTAAAGGGAGATATCTGTTGAAGTGCTCTTAACTGTTGAGAGGGTGGGAGCTGTTGAGGTCAGTAGATTTCTTTCCTTCCTTACTGTTCCTCTTGTCCTCCCCAAGCCTAGCCTCAGTGCTCATCCTGTAATTGTCCTAGAGAGCAGCAAGGCGATGGGCCCCACTGACAGAGGACTGACAGGTCAGGACATTTCCAGAGTAACGTTAGAGAAGGAAACGGGATGACTGAGGTGAACATACGTGTGGAGAGAAAGGTCACACTAAAGTCTTTGTTAGGGCTGTTGTTTATAAGTGTCAACAAGCCACTCAAGCTAACTTAACCCAAAGGGGGACCAATTAGCAGGATATTTGCAGACCATAGTTAAACTTGGGACTGGCTGTCTGGTGAAGAGAAGGAGCCAGATCAGTTGAGGGATGCTGGGAACAAGATCCATGTCAGCAGGACTCCAGCTCTCGTCTTCTCCATGGGCGCTTTGTTTTCTCACTGAGGACCCTTCTGACGTGGCGGGAAGCGAGGGATCCGTAGTGAGAGCCGGGGCCCTCATCACCAGGAAAGGACCGCTCTCACTAATCTGGGGGAGGGTTCTTATTTTTCCAACACTGACCCTACCCAGTCTAATCATCTAATTAATTCTGGCTACTGAGGGAGGGCCATGCCAGTTCTCACTCTAGCATGTGAAGTGGAGAGGGGGAATCCACAGTCCCCAGGAGCGGGTGCTGCCCCAAGGAGACATATGCACACTGGACGGTTGGGGACTCAGTGCCATGGGCCATGTTCTGACAGACATTGGTGTTACATAGGCCATCATCCACTTTATTCCTGAGATATTTAAATAGCTACACTCAGACTGCCCAGAAATGTCACTTCTGTATTCCCACAGAGAGCAGTAGTGCTGGGACCTGGACACTGAATGTGCTGTGGAAAATGTGTGGCATCGATGTGCATATGGACCCGAACATTGGCAAAAGGCTGAACGCTCTGGGCAACACTCTGACCACACTGACTGGGGAGGAGGTCATAGACGACATGGCTGATCTGAACTCCATGAACATCGGTGACCTGTCGGACGAGGACGAAGTGGACACTATGTCTCCCACTGTCCACACTGTACGTGCACTTACTGCGGGACGTTTCCCAACTGGCTCTTACCTTGAGATGGGCTATTACTAACTCAGTGTTACTTATTATATTGTGATTGCTAATTGTGCAGGAAGGAAGGGACTGGTGGTTCCTGTGTCTACATTTCATAACATTGTTTTTAATGTCATAATAATGTCTTTTAATTGATTCCTTGTTCCATAATAATGTCTGTCAACCAACTTGTGCCTTAACCAACAGGTGACATACTAACATTAAAAGTGCAGCGGATCCGTAGTGACAGAATGTAAATTAGTGGTTTCTTCAAGCTAGGAGCCTCAGGGGGCTCCTGAGGGGACTGGAAGAGACTGCTGATGGTTACAAGGTTCCGTATGCGGGTAGTGAAAATATTCTGATAGATTGTGGTGATGAGCATAACTTTGTAAATATGCTAAACACCACTGAATTGTACAATTGAAATGGGTGTATTTTATGCATGTAAATTATAGCTAACTAAAGATGTTAAAAAATGAAGCTCAAAAGCAAAGTATATACATGCACACAAAATATATATAACTAGAAATATGTATTTCTATCTCTACTGTACATTTATAGTATCAACTTATTTGATAGTTAAAAAGACAGTCTCTGCTTTCATTCTGGTATTGATTAAACTATTTTTCAACTATCTTTTAACCATTGTATCATGAAATACTTTTGTTCTTGGAAAGACATTTTTTTAAAAAATTGATGTTACTGTTTATTGTTTAGAGTTCAGATGGAAGTTCAGTAAGTGGAGATGGCCACAAGCTCACCTTTGGGCAGCGACTTGTAAATCACCTGCTAGGCCTGACGCCCCCACACCAGCGCTATTCTGTTCCTGCAGAGTATTTGTGTGAGCCAGAGCAGGGGGGCTCCCCACAGTCAGGCCAGGCCCATTTGAAAGTGTGCAGAGCTCACTCATGGGGAAATGTAGGTGGTAACTAAATAGATTTCTGTGAAAATGAAGGGATATCAATCACTGGAGAATTCCAATCATCATACTTAATATAGATGCCTTTGATTCTTGCATGCTTCTTTGATTTGTGTCATTTTTGTGATAGTGTAGATTTGCTGTGTGACCACAGTGTGGTACTAACATTTGTGCTTTGATTTTTTCAGGAAGCTGTAGAATATCGAAGACAAGGAGCATCTTGTAGCCAGCCGGGAGATCTGAGAGGCAGAAAAATGATGAAGCGAATAGTGGATATCAGAGAGCTGAATGAACAAGCCAAAGTCATAGACGATCTTAAGTATGTATCATGCTTTTTCACTTAATACAGTCCTCCCTAATGATAGAATCATCAGGTTTTAAATGTGGAGAGAGATTGTGTGGACCAGTACAACTCTTTTAGTTTATAAATGAGATGAGCAAGGCCAGGGAAATGTGGCAGTTTGCCTGACATCCTGCATCCATTAGTGATCAAGTTAGGCCTGAAATCCTTGTCTGGTGCTCTTCTCGGGTCCGCATTTCTGAGAAGTTTATGACTGACTTCATGTCACATATATGTATCTCTACATGTACATGTACACTTACACGTATCTTCACATGCCTATATAAATATATGCATTAGTATTTCAGAAATTCAGATTTTTGAAAGGGGAAACAAATTGAGCATTTGACATGTTATCTCAGTTTAATCTCCACTGCATTTCTTGAGGTTAGATGGCATTATCTAAACTTTCTAGTTGAGAAAGCAGGCTAGGGGGAGATAAGCATTAGAATTTGAACTTGTGTGGTCTGAACTCAAAAGTGCATGCTTGTTTTGCCTGCCTGCATTAGTGTTTCTCTAGGTCTGAGGTGGGTGTGGGGTAAGTCAAGAGTAGGGAGTACATGGTAGTAATTTATTTTCTGTAGCTGTGGCCTGCTGGATGGTACTAATACTTTCTCTATAAGACTTTTCTTCTTGGAAAACTTTGAAATTTTTGTTTTTCCAGAGGTGATATTCATGCGTCATCTTTTCTAATCTTTGTACACCTGTAGCTGTGTTGCTGTTGTTTTTTGCACTGAAGGACTTTATACAAACGTATGCATTTTTGTACAGTGAAAGGTATTACCTAAGAACTTGTATGCCAGTTAGTTATGATACAGTGATTCACATTTTCCTGTTGACTCACATTATAGTTTGAGTTTTGTTCTCGGGGAGAAAATGGCTTGAAGCAAATACATACTTCCTCTCCTAAAATCTTACTTAAGGCTTAAATTATAGGTAGAATTTTACATACAGGCATTCTTCTGCAGAGTGGATCCACAGCTTTCGTAAGATGGTCAAAGAGACTCTCAATACAGAAATGAGTAAGACATTTCCTAACACATTAGATGAACTTTGTTATAGTTTGCTTGGTATGAGTGTTAACTTCATGGGGGATTTTGGCTTGTTCATACATAATCTTTGATATTCTGAAAAGTGAAAGAATGAAAAAGGAGTAAGTGAAAATCATCTTACTTTGTAACTTCTTTATATTCATTGCCATATTTCTTTTGCATCCAGAAAATTAGGTGCAAGTGAAGGAACCATAAACCAAGAAATTCAACGTTACCAACAATTAGAATCTGTTGCTGTGAATGACATTCGAAGAGATGTTCGTAAAAAGTTACGGAGGTCCAGTATGCGAGTGAGTCAGAATTTACCAAGAATTTTATTAAAGTAGACATTTTCTTTTTAGTTTAGGAGACTTTCCTGATGAGACTTTTATTGTTCTCTTTCTTCCTCCATTGCTGGTTTGTACACCTTCCAACTACTCTGTAGCAGGCACTGTTTATAGCACTTTATGTTTAACAACCCATTAAGTCCTTACAACCACCCTATGAGTAGCTTGTAGCATTTTCCCCATTTTAAAGATGAGGAAACTGAGATAGAGAGAGGTCAAGTAATTGACCAAGGTTATACACCAGCAATTCCCATGGAGCAAGAATCAAACCCAACAGTGGGACTCTGCAGTCTGTACCCTTAGTCACCATATTCTTTTTGCCTTTCATGAAGTCAACTTTCTCTTTAGTCTCCACTTCAAATGTGATGTCTTTGAGATGTCCATTCTACCCCATCTCATTCCCCACAGCTGACTTTATCATTTGCTTGTATAGTTGCCTTTATTAGAGTTTGAGTTGCTTAAAGAACAAGTTATTTATCTTTGAATCCACTACTTACATTTTCTGGGATTTAGTTCAATTGCTGAATAATTGAAACAAATACATAGATATGCTGTACACATATAATAGGAAATAATTCTTAAACTTATTCAAATGGAGGTAGGTTGCTTTGGGTCAAGGTGGTCTGGTTAATGGAAAATTTACTATTTAAAAAAAGATAAATGGGTTCTTAACCATTTTTTTAATGAATAGCAGAACCCTCCTTTTTTTTTTTTTTTTTTTTTTTTTTTTACCAGAATAAGGTTTTGGACCAGAATAAGGTTTTGGATGGCACCCCACTACATACAAAGAGATCAAATCACAGTTGCTGAATCAGAGGAAGGGGGAAAGGCACAAAGATCCATCATTTATTGGCTTGAACTTTCTTCCCTTGTTCAACCCCTGGGTCCCAGGCAACCTAGTTTAAATACTGTTCTAGCCAAACCGGTTTGGCTCAGTGGATAGAGCGTCGGCCTGTGGACTGAAAGGTCCCAGGTTTGATTCCGGTCAAGGGCATGTACCTTGGTTGCGGGCACATCCCCAGTAGGAGGTGTGCAGGAGGCAGCTGGTCGATGTTTCTCTCTCATCGATGTTTCTAACTCTCTATCCCTCTCCCTTCCTCTCTGTAAAAAATTAATAAAATATATTAAAAAATAAAAAATAAAAATAAAATAAAATAAAAATAAATACTGTTCTAAATTATTGACTTAAATTAAAGATAAAATCCAATTTGAGTTTTATTCATCACTGGCTTCTGTTACTAATAAATGGGTAGTGATAATCTATAATGCATAATTCTGTATTTAAAATTTTTGCTGTTATGTACCTAGTAATCAAACAATACAACGGGGCCTTGACTTACAAGTGTCCCGACTAACGAGTTTTTCAAGATACGAGCTGTCTCTCGGCCGATTTTTTGCTTTGAGTTGCGAGCTAAAATTCGGGTTATGAGCCAGCTTCAGATACCCCACCACTAGTTGGCGCAGCGAACGTCACAGTGATTTGACATACGAGTAATTTGAGTTACGAGCTCCGTCACAGAACGAATTAAACTCGTAAGTCAAGGTCCCACTGTATAATTAAAATATGCTTGCGTAGTATTTATAAGGTAGCTTATACTTGGTAATTGAAAATAAAACTAGGTAGAGAGGATTAGGGAAATGAATGAAACATGTGAACACCTGTCTCCCTTGGCGTTTCCCCCTCACTTCCCAGCAAGTCCTCTTGCATTACCCATCGCTGTGTAGGAATCCTTTTCATATCTAGCCCCTGTCACTCATTGGGAGAAGAGGGATTTGGAGGCCAGGAGAGTGCCAAATCACCACTTCCTTTCCTTTGCCATAGTGTCCTGTCGCAGAATCGTGTCGCAGGAGCCCTTGGGTGGTACTTGAGATGAATGGTGTTCTTTTCCTCTTTCCTTGTAATCCTCATTTCCTTTTTTCTTTCCTTTTTAATTGTTTCCTTTCTTCTCACTCTGTTTCTGTACCCCTTACCCCCTCTCCCAATCGTTTTCTTTTTTCTCTCAGGCCAGCTGGAGCTAATATTTCCTAGCTTTCCTAAGGGACATGAAGACTAAAGTAGCTGCCTCATGCTCTGCTTTGATTCATTTACATTGTTAAGTGACATTTAAAGTCACTTGCCATTGACCTGGGGATACAGCTAACTGGTTTATAGTAGTTTACAGTCACCCTTTTTTCTCTCTCATTTCATTAGGCTGCTTCCCTGAAGGATAAGTGGGGGTTGGGTTACAAACCGAGTTACAACCGATCGAAGACCATTTCGGCTTCTGGAAGACCACCTCTTAAGCGAATGGAAAGGGCAAGGTAATGTCTATTCCAGCCAACAAACCAAATGGTAACTTCTGACTTCTTTGCCAAGGTCCATTATTTATCTGCTGTGTTCTAATTGTGGGAATTACAAAATTATGATAGCAAAACTGGACATAATTAGTCAAATACCAGTAATACTGGATACTGTCAAACTAAGAAGTTTATTTAAGGAATTTCCTTATCACATTTGTGCCACAACCATGGTGTGCTTTCCAGGAATGAAGTACATTGCTTTTTAGACAAGTATACATATAAACTTACAGACTATCAAAAGAAGTGAAAATGTGCCCATTAGTAGCTGCTGCTCTAAGTTTGTCATTTTAGAAAATGTTTGAGTTCACACACATTTAGCATGTGAAAGAATGGAAAATTTTACATATTGAAGAAAAATACTGGTTTACTAGTAAATAAGCACTATAAAGTAAAAATTTTAAATTCTTTTCTGTATGGTTTAGTTTTAGAAAATTTGTGACAATAAAATATAGACTTTTTTATGGGATGCTAAAGGTTAAGAAATGCAATACCAAAAGTTGAATCCTTGAGTAAGGTAAATATTTAGAAATAGAACATAACGTTATTTTTTTTTTAAATATATTTTATTGATTTTTTACAGAGAGGAAGGGAGAGAGATAGAGAGCCAGAAACATCAATGAGAGAGAAACATCGATCAGCCGCCTCCTGCACGCCCCCCACTAGGAATGTGCCCGCAACCAAGGTACATGCCCTTGACCGGAATCGAACCCAGGACCCTTGAGTCCGCAGGCCGACGCTCTATCCACTGAGCCAAACCGGTTCTGGCGAACATAACGTTATTAATAAGACCTTTATAAATCCAGCTTTTTAAAAACACACACAGAATGTTAATGTTTTATAACTTTCTATTTCACTTGCAGTTCTCGAGTAGGAGAGACTGAGGAGCTTCCAGAAATCCGTGTAGATGCAGCATCTCCTGGGCCCAGAGTAACGTTCAATATCCAAGACACAGTAAGAGAGGCATTCCTGATTAGATACACAGTGCTGATAATTACAAAACTATAGTAGCCAGACAATTTTAAAGTGTTGATTCCTACCTGTGACTGTTGAAGCGTCTGTACATTACCAAACAGCAGGGCACTGCCCGGGTGCAGTGTTTTGCATGTAGAATAAAGATCCCAGCTGCTTGCTCTTAGGTAGAAATGTTGAATAGTTTTTCTTTCAATTGCAAATCCATACTAAACTAGGTCTTATTCACAAATGTAAATGTGGAATGTTTATACTTTATGTATTTTATTATTTATATATTTAAGTGTATATCTAAATAAAAGCCTAAGCAACCATCACAACTGAACGGACAACCGAACAGGCTGTATGGGGCGACTAGGCCGGCAGGGAGGTTAGTGAGGGATGACCAAACGACTGAGCAGCAGGCTGCGTGGGGCGACCAGGCCTGCAGGGGTGCAGTTGCGGGTGACTAGGCCAGCGGGGGTGGGGGGGCAGTTAGGAGAGATCAGGCAGGCAGGCAGGTGAGCAATTAGGAGCCAGTGGTCCCGGATTGTGAGAGGGATGTCCAACTGCCGGTTTAGGCCTGATCCTGAGGACATAAACCGGCAGTTGGACATCCCCTGAGGGGCCCTGGATTGGAGAGGGTGCAGGCTGGGCTGAGTGGGAACTCGCCCCCCCTTCTTGCACAAATTTTGTGCACCCGGCCTCTAGTAGAGAGATAATAGCAGAAACCAGAAATGAAAAAGTCAGCTTCAAAGTAATATTCTAATTTCATAGCATATTAAAAATGTTTGTTTTGTTTTTTTGTATATTTGTTTACTTTTAAACCATTGTTTTTTATTTTGCGTGAGTTTTTATACATTTCTTATTATTTTAAGTTGAAAAAAACAATATGGGGAAGCACACCGCAGTCCAGCCCTCCCGGGGAAGGGTATTTTCAGGTACTGCTTAAGAACAACATAAATTCTGCTTTAAATGAATTAACCACCTGAAAATCTGCTTTCAAAATTCCTTCCTCTCATTCCATACTAAACTCAGACATCAGAAATATTTTACATAAAGGTTTAAGATTGTTTAAGTTAATAAGCTCTTGCATAAATATATTTTAGTTTTATACTTTATAGTTTAACATTAATTATTTAATCTTCAAAATTAAAAGGCTAAATCAACTTACCGAATCAACTCAACCAAATTGTAAACCAAAAAATGCAATTTTATTACCGTTATTTGCTAATCCCCAAGTGAATCTCCTTTTCCCACATTAAACTACAAAATGAGTATTTTCTTTAAAAAATATAGTTAACTATTTCTAACTAAAATCAAATTTATCTCAGAAAAACAAATTAATCAATCAATGTTACTTCTTTTGAGTCATTGGTATAAAAAATGTATACAATCTAGAAAATTATTCTTATGCTCAAAACAGTATGGAAAATGTATGATGTAGTCATAATTTATAAGTCAAATTAACATTTTTTTAAAATTAAATCTTTATTGTTCAGATTATTACAGTTGTTCCTCTTTTTTCCCCCATAGCTCCCCTTTATGAGCCAGATATTTTACCTAAATATGTCATAAAAGTAAAATTGAATTTAAAAAATGTGCCTACATACCAGTTATATGAACCTTTGTTTAGAAATTTCCATCAAGTTACTTTAAAAAACTGGCACTTAGCCCACATATATTTTGTTTCCCTTTCCTGACCTTTTATACTAGAGTTTCAATATATATCCCATAGTTCCACTGAATTTAGTTAAACTGAATTTTGTTTTAGAACCACTGGATTGTAATACAGTGAGCTTGGTAAACATGTCCTTTTTCAAAAAATGATCTTGGAAATAAATCATTTACAGTGAATTTAATGGAATCTACTAATTAAGTTGATATTTTTTCCTGCCCAACATTTTAAAATGGATATAATTGACATATGACATATTAGCTGTACGTGTACAGTCTAATGATTTAACATATGTATATATTGGGAAATGATTGAGTCTTAAATACATTAATAATTGAATTGATTCAAGTCCTATTTTTAAATAGCAGTGTATGCTGTTTATAAAAAATAGTATATACAATTACAAAATAGATCATTAGGCATGGTTAAATAGAAAATAAATATAAAACAAAGGGATATTTATCCATATAAATTTTTACTATAGTTTAAAAAATTTTAAAGTATTTAATGATAAAATCTGAATTTATATATTTAATCAATAACATGTATATAGTAAAGAGTGAACAAAATCTGAATTCTGCAAATGTTTAGAATTGTGAAATAGGTAATTTGAATTTCACTAGGTATCTAATATAGTAGCAGCAATAAATTGCTCAAATCTTGCACATTACACTTGATAGAGGCTTATCAATTCTCAAAGGATAGTCAAGCAACTCTCCAAATTGGGAATTGAAGTAGGTCATAGGAGGTTTTGCTGTTTCTTTGACCTACTTAAATGCAATAGCCACAGAGTGCAGTCTTCAGTTAGTGACAGGGTATCTAGTCACCCTAATATATAATAGCAATCTTAAGTTTAACTGATTAATGTGTTTATATCTGAAGCTATTTGTTTTTGTCAGCCATTTGGGACTCATTTGTACAGGATGTACCCAGCAAAATTCCCTACAAGGGATTTAACTACATGAGAACGCATCTCTGCCATCACTACTGCCCTCTTGCCCTATGATTATGGCTGATCATTGCTTCCTTGTCTCCACAGCATGTTTAACTTTCGCTTCGTACTAATTAATATGATGATATATGTTTATCTGAGTGAAGTTTCACTCTAGTGTTTAGTATGTCAGTGGTGTGACTTTCTGTGGTTTGATCTTACGCTTCCTTCCTTGCTGCACCATTTCATAAGATCATAAATCTGACCTTTCTTTCCATTCAGAGTGAGGAAATTTGACTCTGAGACTATTTTTAAATGCTTACACATGTCTTTTTCTTTTTTAATCGAGAAGAGATTCATAATGTGAACCTGATTCATGTTTCCTCTTTTTACAATCAGTTTCCAGAGGAGACAGAACTGGACCTTTTGTCAGTCGCCGTCGATGGTCCCTCCCATTACTCATCCGCCAGTGAAGGGTCCCATTCCGTGTTCAGTTCTCCCAAAACTCCAGGTGTTACTTTCCAATCTGAAGACAGCCGACGGGATGACAGTTTGTCTTCTACAAGCGAAGATTCCGAGAAGGATGAAAAGGACGAAGAGCATGAGAGAGAAAGGTTTTATATTTACAGGAAACCCTCGTGAGTAGCCTTTTTGTGTTAAGATCCTTGGGTAGCATTTCTGAATTTAGGACCAAGCTTAAAGCATTATATATAACTGTTTACTTTCACAGAAAAACATATTAATGTGCCTAATGGAGTCAGACTAAGAGACATGGCCATAGTTTACTAATGTAGTTTAGCTCTATATGGCATTTTTTTCTTTTCCTATACTTCTGCCTTTTAATAAAATCTGAGAAGATTTGCAAAATTCCATCTCCTCCCAAATGTGGAGTGTGGTGCACTCACTCATATTTTGCCTCCTCCACACCAGTGATTGTGCCTGTGCCCTCGGAACCCAGCACACGACCGGGCACATAGTAATAGCTCTCAGAACATAATTGTTGAATAAAATGTGACTCGGATACACTTAAGAAAAACTTCAGTTAGTATGAGCTGGTTGAGTATTTTGTGTGAATTTATAAACTATCAGTATAATTTATATGCAGACAGTTGTTCACATTGCATGTAGAAGAGTAGTTTGTTAAAAACTCTTCCCACTTCACTGCAGTGTGATGATCAGTTGTTTTTTCAGCAGACATACGTCTCGTAAAAAAGCCACAGGCTTTGCTGCTGTTCACCAACTGTTCACAGAGCGTTGGCCCACAGCTCCCGTCAACCGGAGCCTCAATGGCACAGCTACTGAGAGAAATATCGACTTTGAACTTGACATACGGGTTGAAATTGATAGTGGAAAATGTGTGCTTCACCCAACCACCCTCCTACAAGAACATGATGATATAAGCTTGAGGAGGTAAGAAACTGATCAGACGAGGGTACATGTAATTTCATTTGTTAGAAATACTATTTATCCCATATAATAAAAGCCCAGCAACCAAATGGCAGAACGACCGGTCGACCAGTCACTATGATGTGC